GATTTATAATTTTAAAAAATGTTACTCTGTGTCTATTAAAACCCTTACAAGATAATTCACAAACAACTGCGGATCAGGTAAGGCAATTAATATAATATTTTATATTAAGAGGACGAGGACGCTACACTCACATTCGTTGTCTCCGTCTTACAAGTGCGTAACGTAGCAAATTGTAGGCTCCGCAGATCACGTTTATCTCCCTTAGTTTAACAGTTAGAGTAAATTGACCTCCTATTAAATTTAAAGGTAAGATTATTATCGAGAGCATCTCATATCCTTTTTTTTTATATTTTAATTTTAGAGCGAATTATTACTATTTTAAAATTGTAAATTGTTTGTTCATCTTAAAATACACGATATTCGTTTTAAAATTAAAATATAATAAAATGCCTATGAGATGCCCTGAATAATAATCTTACCTTTATATTTGATAAGAGGTCAATTCACTCTAACTTTTAAACTAACGGAGATAAACGTGATCTGCAGAGTGTACAATTTGATATGTTACGCGTTTGTAAGACGGAGACAACACATGCGGGTGTGGCGTCCTCTTAATTGCATTTATTATATTATCTGTGCATGTTTTATATACAATTGTGTTGTATAGTGTATTTGATCTAATTCTCAAAAACACGATCTCGAGAGCCCTCCGAACACCTGGAGGAAGGTAATTGCTTAGTTTTACGATTTTAATATATTTATCGACAAGCGTCGTATGTTATTTTATATCGTAATTTTTGAGTTATTACAGATGTATGATGCTATAATAATGATAGTTAGACTTAGACACAGTGGCGTGTATCATAAAATTGGTGTTGCCTGAATAATTTTTAGGTGACCTACCTCTCATAATACTGTTATACCTACCTATACAATATTCTAATAATTTAAGGTGTTGCTTGAGCAGCACTTGGACCCTATGTTACACGCCACTGGACTTTGACCTAAGAAAACAATGGGTGCTTAATTAAAACTTGGGGGTGCAAAAGGATCTTTTGCACCCCCCTTGATGTGCCAATGCACATGTGCTTGTGGTTTCTGTCTTAAAAACGTACGAGGTACGATTGGTCCGATTTAGAACATTTTCGTTCACTAGTTTCAATAGTGTGCTGTTAGTTTTTTACAATGGAGTTAAAATAGTGAATATTATCAAACAATTACCATGGGTGCAACTTAGCTCTCCCAATATCAAAATTGGCACTGCTAAATTGTCTGTGCCGGCTTAAAACCTATGATAGTCTGATTTTATAAATGATAATTTATGATACATTATCATAATGTATTGTTTTCTAAGTTATTTTAATTTATAATTGGTCAATGGGAACATCAAATTAATGAATTAAATTTGGTTTATCATTTTATTAATTGGAAATAATTGGACTGAGTACACAAATAAGTAGAATCAGTAGGTTTAATATTTCCTAGATTCACGACCAACGCTCAATAATTAAGTCTTACAATATACCCATAGCCGTATGTCCGCATGAGCCGTCTCCGTCTACCAAACATATATCATGGCAACTTCTTCTTTCACAATAATGTTCACAATAACTCTTTAAATTCTAAAATTAGAGTGAAATTACCTGTTATAAAATTTAAAGGTAAGATTATTATTTAAGGCATCGGGATGCATTTATTGATATTTTTATTAAGAAGCAAATTATGACCTTTTTGAAACTGTAACACTTTTGTACATTTAAAAATAATCATAACTTGCTTAAAAACTATAATATTAATAAAATCCTCCAAGATCCCCCAGAAGCTAAATAATAATCTTAGACTTAAATTTTTTTTCGAAAATTCACCTTTACTTTAGAAGTTTAGTGTTACAAAAAAAATGGATTTTAAACTTCAGATCATAGACAGAGTATCGATTTTATATTTTATTGTTATTTGACTTTGTGTTCAACTTTGTATTCGACTTTCAAAATAAACAAAAAAAATTTGTATATTTAAATGATGTTTAAATTGTTTTTAGACAATATTTAGACAAATCGATATGATATTCCTTAAAAAATATTATTCTTTATATTATTTGTAGTCATAATATTCAAGATATAATAAATAGCCTTATATTTCAAAAAATATAGTTAGCTTGTATAGGAGGGGCAGCAGTCCACACCTTATTGATCGCAAGATTCGGCCAATAGTTTTTCGGAAAATACGGTTCACGTTATTACGGTGCAATGTAAAGGGTAAAGTTGACGGAAAATATCTTGAGTATCCCTATATCACGTTTACCTACGACCTACACTAACGTAATAAATGAATGAGAGTAAAAATAAATTATAATGCCAATGCCGAAGCGCAGGGCGGCGTCATTTCAGTTTTTCTTAGGATGGTGCAAAATTTTTTTCGGCCCTGTGTTAATTTAGTTAAAACAATATGTATAATACAAGCTCGTTAAAAGAATAACAAAACAAATATTTTTTAAAACTAATGCTGTATCTATTAAGCAAGCGTTTTTTAGCAGAAAAATAAATAGTATAGCTAATAATTTATAATAATACTATACTAGTTCACAATATGATATAATTTAAATTTAAATAAAATAACAAAAAAAAAAAAATACGCTTAAGTTTTTAAAGGATATCTACGAGATTTCATGTCTGCAAATAGATCAATAGCTTTCTGAAGATCAAATTTTGAAGCTTCATCACCTTCAACAGCAATCACCAGCAAATCACTCAAGCGCTAATTAGTCATTGTTAGTCTTAAGCATGTTTGAATGACGAAAAAAAGGGTTCGTTGGAAGCAGTTGATACTGGTAGTGTCATTAGAATAGAAATCATTTTTAGTGTTTCTGGAAAAGAGTTTGAAAAATTGAAAAATTTTTTTGAAATGGAAAAAAAATCTTGAATCCCATCTTCACGGGTATTATTTTTGTTTTTAGAGTTTAGACAGTAGGTTTTTGGCAATAAGAAATTCTGAATTCAGACTCTAGGAATATAAGATTAATATTGAAGTAATTAAAGTGATTCAAAAAAGCTTGAAGATAAGGACTTTTGAAGTTAAAGTAATCAGGATTTGAAGAAATAAATATAGTACAGGTTAAAATAATATTGTTGTTTGTGCCATTAAAACGTTTGTCAAAAGTTCATTCATAAATCTATAAAATAAATAGATAAATAATTAAATTATAACCATGCTAAGCAAAATTGTATTAAAAATATAATAAGCATTATATAGAAGAATCAAGTTATGCACTGAAAATGAATCTTTTGTTTATATTATACATGTAATAATGCCAATGTGCAAGTAACAAAGCAAAATAAGTACCTACCTAGTATTGGTAAGCCACTATTTCAATCATATTTTCAAATCATAACCCATTCAAAATATTTAAATTATAATAATACTTGCCTATCAATTGCTGAATAAAATAATACTTTTAATTCATTTGGTTGTAGATCTTGTTGTGACTTGTGTGGTATTATTGTGATAGTGTGATCAATATCACCAACACAGATTTCTATACTAACGTTATGTGAAAAACATATTTTACAATTTAATTTTACCTACTTAATACTTACTATTTAATATTAACATTAAGTAGGGTATGAGCAGATCCGCCTAGCGGCCCTATTCCCCTATCGTACCAAAAATTTGACCAGCCCATAAAAATTAAGGGTGGGGCAATTTCCCCCGCCTGCCCTCCCCAAATGACGCCACTGACCGCGCAGCGACGTCGAATATAATTCGCTGAAAACAATTTAATTGATTATGTTCACATCAATTTCATTATAACGATGAGTGTTTCGACTTGTTTTAATTTTTACACTGTAAAAAATATGTGCATACTGCACCACTATAATACACACCGATAGCCGATAGGCCCGGCTGATTGGCCTTCGAAATAACAAAATCCAGATTCCAGATATTATAATATTTTCATAATATACTGAATTTATGTTTCTTAATTTCTTTGTTTTTAAAAATAATCTTAATAACACTACAAGTACTTAGTTGTATTATTATGATTTATCGATTTATGTTTTCAATTTTTCTTGAGTTTGGGTAGGTAGTGCACGTACCCTTTTGTATACACGAACTGCCACTGGTTTTGACCCGCACCATGAATGGATAAATTTATTACGATCGAGTTGGACCTCCCACTCCCTCCGATTGAAAATTGTTCGAACGACTAAAGTCTAAAAGGCAAATTAAAGATGTCGAAGAGAAACATAACAGGATTTTGTTTTATCTACGTAACTGTTACATCGGTCTCTTTTTCGATATCGGTCGATCGTGATTCGTCTGATTTGAGTGCCGGATTTTGCGAAAACAAACATTATTAATATACAAATATACAATACCTTTAGTTTATAATTATACCAACCGTTATATTATTCGTTACCACATTACCAGAACAGCAGAACTGCTGCTATACAGCTGTGTCACTATCATAGATACTAAAAACCTTTATTATCTATGGTCAGTTGTATAGTGATTAGTGTTTATTGTTTAGTAGTTTGGCACTATTTTTGACAATTTTTTGTCATAATCGTCGCGCTTCGTGTAATCGTGTAATGGAAATTGTTCATAATAATTAATATTTGATATTATTACTTTAAAATCTGTTGTCGATGGTAGAACCGTCGGTCCCGAATCCCGATTGCAGTTATTTGTTATTACTTATTGCAATTGTTATTTATTAATGACTCGGGCAAACGATTAAAGATATATTATAAATCGTGCTCGGGCATGATAAAATAAATCTACCTACTTATTTTATCGTGGACTCGGGCACTGATTTCGATTTCGTGAGTAGTGAACAAAGATAACCGCGGAAGTGAGTAATAGCTGCCAAGTTGCCAGTCTCGACGAAGTTTAACGTTTTCTTTACCACGCCCCGGCGGCTTTATAGCAGACGTGCAACGCTCTCGTTGCGCAGCCGGGTCAGAACATTACGGTGCGCGTGCGCAACTTCGACGCAGTCTCGGCGGTGGTATTTGACATTTGTATTTTGTTGTCGTTTGCCATATAGATCCCTCGTTTGTATGAAACTTATTGAAACCGATTCGTGTGAGATCGTGATACGTGTGTTCAACAGCATGTCTTCGTCGTCGTTTTCCAGTGCCGATCTACCTTGGAACAGTAGAAACACAGACAGTACCAGTTATGAACGTCAAATAGTGAGTGTACACAATGATCGTGGTATGGTTTTCTCGACGATTATTGCCTATATTATTCTATGTGACCAGTGGCTTGTCTGGCTGTAATTTGTTTCGGTATGGTGACTAATATAATATCAGATCCTCACTAAAAAAAAATCCACATTAGGTACGATAAAGCAATTTAAGAAAATTCAAAAAATAATTATAATCTAGGTATTAATAAAATTAAAAGTCAGTAACTTAAGGCTTGAAAAATTGAAATTACCTAATTGTAGTATATGATTATAGCATATAGCTATTATATAATTAAGCTATACCTACAACTGTACGTCTGTACAACAGTAGTTGTGAACAGATTATATAGGTAATATTGTAATATATCATACCTACATATTAATAGATTATAATAGGTAATTAATATCATACAGTATAATATTATGATTGTTATTTAGTAATATTATACACAGTGGCACAAGAAGTATTTTTCTGGAGGGAAGAAGGGAAAAACATAAAAAACCTAAGCACAGTTATGCTTGCAAAATATAAATATATATAATATCATAGACATGTCCAGGGATGGTGCAGTGTATGCACCTGCACACCCTGCAATTTCAGGTGGCACCATGAACTAAGATCCCTAAGATCCCATTCAATATCTTGGCATAAGATACTAGCTCCCAAGCAATTTTTTAGAATTTTTTTTTCAAAATGTGGGTTTTGCATGGTTAATTTGATGGTACTTTAAATAAAAACAGCTCAAATTTTATTTGGAAGTTCAAAAAAACTTCAAAATGCTAAATTTGACCAAAAACCGTGTTATGGGGTTTAAAATATCAAACATTTAAATATTTGGTTTTTTTTTTGGAAATGTTAGTATTTATATTCCTACTCAACTTTTTGGTGGAATCAGAATTTACCTATTGTACTTACATTTTATGTTATTGTTAATAAGCCATATAAAACTGAATTATAAAATTATTTCAAACATTTGCATATTAAATATATAAGTTACTCAAAGTTAATTATTTTGACTTTTTTTTTTCAGTGTGTAATAACACAAAGAAGTTTTTGGTTGAATCAGAAGTAAATTATAATTTTGTTTGGATTAAATAGGTTAAAATAATTAGCAATAAAAAACCAAAATGTACAGATATAGGTAATATATATTATATTACGTCAATATCCTTGTCATCAGATAAGCTGAGCCCATCATTGTCCCTTAGCCCCTGGTTACTCACCAGGGTGCACCCTCTAAGTCCTCTAAGTCAAAGATCTGGACACGCCTTTGTATAATATATATGGCGTATAGCCGTATAGGTTACCTATTTGTGATTTATAATAGAAAACCCTTCTTAATATTGATAGTAAAGCTCGCTAAGTACTTATAATTTTGGGGTAAAAACAAATTTAACCTTACTTGATAGTACCTACCTAGCTTACAATTAATATGCTTAGTTAAGACTTTGATCACTTACTCTCTCTTTTCTGCACAAGCTTTGCTTTTGAAAAGAGAACCAAAAATTAATTAATTTTTGCTTATAAGATGTTTTGTACATTAATTTTAATTTGGTAACAATAAATGTTATTATTATTATTTATCAAATAATCAATTATTTCAAACATATCTTTCTTCAATTCACATATTGATAAACAGAGGAGCCAAACTGTATTTTAATATACAAGTAAAAAGTTATATAGACCACCACCCTATTTACAAAACAAACACATGTGACGCTTTGCCGTCACAACCCTTATGGCTTATATAACACTAAAGTATTCCATACGACCATACCACATTCAAGACAAATTTTAAATTTTTAACTCCTTTTACATGATTCTTTACGCTTGACTCTTGATTAATTTGTATTATTCCTGGTGCTTCTTTTCTCTTCGCACACACTATTCATGGTTCAAACTAATAAAAATTACAATTTTTAAACAGCAATATTTAGCAACTAGCCCAAGCAATTAATGGGGACTGTATTCCTAAATATATATTCCTAAAAAGTAAACTGGCCATTTTTTAGCCTTTGCCATATTTTTATTATAAAACATTATTATTATTATTATAGTATCACTTTTATTTTATTATTATTAATTAAAATGTTCACAACTTGTTTCAAGTCTTACTTAACAAATGTAAAGGCAGATGTATTAATGTAGGTATAATAATTTACCAAGTTTTTAAACAGGTAGGTAATATTTATAGGTACCTACTGGCTACTACTTACATAGTATACTTTTAACTATGACTAGATATAGTATATAGAGATAAGTATCCAGGATGAAAAAAATTTATATTAGACCCATATTAATTTTGTTTTATTACCTATAGCAGCTTTTCTCAACTTATGGTGCATGCACTATGTACATGGTAAACTCAAATGTGGTATGTGAAAAAATCTCCATTCCATCATTATTTACATTAAATATTATTTGGTTTATACTTTATTTTATATTAATAATAACATAAAATAAATAATAATTGTACATATTTAATATTCTTTGTGTGCATTAAATTAGTCACTTAAATTTAGCAATTTAGCTTATATTTTCATAATTTTGAAGTTCTTAATAAAATACAATTCCATACATTTGAAATAACTTATAAATTATTGAAAAAAATGTTATTTAGTCAAGTAGTATATGACAATTTTCAAACAGTGTAGGTGATTTGAAGATATAAAAAGGCCGAGAACCGCTGACCTATAGTATTATTTAATATTTGAGGATATAAATATACCTACAACATGTTAAAATTATATGAATGTATAGATATAATAAATCTATACATGAGTATTTTTTTTCCAAATCCTAAATCAACTGCCTTCAGAGTTCATTTTATTTTAAAAAAAAATGAAAAAAATATGGTCCAAGGTACAAAGTATAATGTATTTAGGAATTTACATTGAAATATACATAGAAATAGAAATTTTAAAAATATTACTTAAAAAAATATAAATTACCTAACCAATTCAGTATATAGAATATAGATAATATATAACCATTTAATCTTAGGTACATAGATGATAAAAAATATTGTTCAATTTTTTAAACCTTAAGAACTAATTATTTGGTCCAAGGTACATGCATATCAATTTGGAAAGAATGTAATTTTTTAGACCTTAGTAAAATGGGGCAACATTGATTTTGCTGGGTAACTTTGATTTTTCAAATAAATTTGATAGTATGTTATCATATCTTCATAACCAAACATGTGCGAGTTTTGGCGATTGGATTATTGTGTTCACGAACTAAGATATATAGGACTGGACACGAGATGAATATTGTGGGTACGAATTAATGTAGTACAACTGGCGGAGTTCGGGGGGATATTTTCCTTTTTGCATTACTAGTGCTGTCTTAGTGGATACTTATGGAACTAGAACACATCATACAAATTTCTAGTCCCAGAAGTATCCAAAACAGTGCTAGTAATGCTAAAAGGAAAATATCCCCCCGAACTCCACCTGTTGTACTATATTTCGTTGTCAACCCTCCACATCCTCCGACCTTCTCGTGTCCAGTTCTGTATATCCTAGTCCGTGATTGTGTTGGTAACGTTCCTTACGTAACATCTTGTTGGTAAAATATATTATCATATTATTAACCGCTTAATCACAAAGTGACGAGCATTATTAAAAAAAAAACCGTCTCAAATAAAATCTTAATGTAAAATTAACCGTCGTATTTGTGAAAAGTAAGTACATATGTATTACTATTGTATGCAATTCCATAAATAAAACGGTAGCTTTGAACATACGTGATTTCCAATAGTTTTTATTTTATAATTAAACTTATTCGTTGGGGTATCTTTGATATGCATGTAACTATGTAAGGCTAACTTTGATAATCTCAATAGTCAATTGTATCATTTAAATTATATTTTTATTTTTTAGATGGCTAGTAATCCTAAGAAATAAAAAGACCGTATGCTAATTAGCTAATTACACTGGGTATATTTCTACTTTACCGGACATCCTTTTTTTTGAAATTTTTTTTTTTAAGCTAATGGAGTTTAGCAAGCTGAAAACAATGGTGAAGTCCAAATTTGGCGCACGGACTTGGTTTTGAAGTTCTCTATTATGCGATTTTCACGCATTCGCGTAACACTAGTTGACCGCCCGCTTACTACGAATATTCATATATATTTTTTCGATTAAATCATTTAAATAGTTAAAAATGTTGATTATTATAATATAACAATTTTTTGTCGTCGTCGTTGCCTATGTCTTTATCACTGTCGCCTATGGCCCACTTGAGGAAGTGTTGCATAGCAAATCGAGGGATATTTTCGTTTTTAATAGTCCGAGCGAGTGACCCCGCTCGGTGACTCAGTGCAACAAAAATGCAATTTTTACAAATTTTTTTTTTTTATCTGATATCACTTTTTTTTTCTAGATTTTCTACTTTTGGGCAGTGATTACAAGTTTTGCGGCACTTATCGGAAAAAAATATATCAATATTCGTAGTAGACACGCAGTATAAACTAGTGTTGTTGCGCGAATGCTTGAAAATTGCAAAATAGTGAACTTCATTAAGCCATAACTTCAAAACTAAGTCCGTGCGCTAAATTTGGACTTCACCATCGTTTTCAACGTGTTTTTTTTTATATATAAAGTGATTTAATTATATTATTATATTTTAAATACGTTTATGTAAAACATCAAGACTGAATGCCTAAGTCAAGGTTCAATATTGTTACATAAATTGATAAACATTTGCTTGTCAACTATTAAATACATATTGTTAAAGTTGAATTAATAACAAGTTCATAGTAATTATTTAAGTACCTATGTATTGATTTAATTTATATACTCCTATCAAAGTTACCAATTACAATGAAATATTAATAACTCAAAAACTTGTTGATGGATTTTGATATGGGGAAAGATTGATACATTTATGCGTCTAACCATTCATTATACACTATAATATTGGGCATATCAAAGTTATCCCACTTGTAGTAGGTATTACTTTTGAGAAAAAATTTCTGTCAATTCCTTAGAAAAATTTTT